AATAGACGAATCAGAAAATGAAGTGAGTTGTAGAAGATTGCCGACTAGAAACGTGCCAGACCGCCTCAGCAGCAAGACATTGACATCGTATTCGAATATCGACGCGCGGGAAAATAACTCAAACCTCGGAACTTTAGAGATTCAAGTATAATCGTCTCGTAATCGCGAGTTGATTCTCCGCGCACGGTGTATGGAAGCGTGACCTAGTTTTCTCGACGATAGAATGAATTTTCCCTCTTGCGATTAGCGATTTGAAGCAGATTTGAAGATTTGTGCTCAATAAAATGGCGCAAGGTGGAGCTGAAAAGTCACTCAGTTCGATGGTGCCGGATACCGAAGATACGCTGCAAGCGTGCTCTTGTCCGTGGGAATCCGCCTCTAAAAACCGTCTTCCTAGTTTGGGCAAAGCCTTCTGTGAAAGAACCCTCATGTTTTCAGGAGAATGTTTCCCTCATCTAGTTGTATCGACTGTATAGATATGCAAAAACTTATTCTACCTCGCTGGCAGTTGTGATTGACCATCACTCCCGATTTCTTTCACTCAAAAAAATTCATGAATTTTGAGTAATCTTAATCACTGGTTCTGTAGCCTTTGAAATTCGGCTTAGTAGAAATGGATGCAAGGTCATTCCAGAAACGATACTTTCTTCACGAATATACGATTCTGGTTTATTCAAAAGGCGATAATATGACGCTCTCAAGACGCCTAAGAAAAAAACTCCTATTCTGAAGAAAATATTGACCACAATACAGGATGTTTACAAAAAGCTAAAATATCACGTGAAAGAGGTAAGCAGGAAGTAAATACGGAATAAATGAGATGTTTATGACCAAATGCTGCAAGGGGGCTGCCTACAAAATCACTTTTATGATTTATGCTCTTCTCACCATGAATAGCTTGGACGAGAAATTTTGGGGAGCACACATAAATAAACGTTCGTTGTTATATGTTGACGGACACCTAAAGAGCAATAACAGAATCGATAGTCGGGCTCGGGCTTAACAACACATGGATGACAAACGCGCTCCGGCAAAAAGAGTTGCGAGCTTTTTCTTGTAGACTGCGACCGCAGCCGCCTCTTTTGAGACCATCTGAGGGTTTTTATTCTCTGACTTGAGAGTCATTCTATCATGAGCTCAATTATGTCCAGAAATCATTTCGAGGAGCTTTTACTGGCTTTGCATCTGGTTGATAACAGTAGAAATGCTAATGGCGACTAATTTTGCAAAATATCTCATATTTTGAAGTTTCAGTGAACGATGTATGAAGTATTGGAAGTACGGCAAAAAGTTCAAGATCAGTAGGCCACTAGTTCCTTGTGTAGGAGCAATTCATTTTAACCAGGATTTTCCTTCAAAGAAGCATAGGGATAGTATCATGCCGAAAATTCCAAAAATGGAAGATCTCCACGCGGTGTATGGCTTCACTTGGTTTGATTTAATGAATTGAGAAAAAAAAGTGACGGAATATGGAAATGCATCCAAATAAGCTAAAAAAACTGTAGCCTAAATGTGGAGTACACGGTCGCACGCGGCTAAAAAGTGTACTCCATATGTGGACTTCATGTTGCCAATGTTTAAACTAGCAGTGAATACTACGCCAGAACTAGACACTGAATCAGCCATTTGAATCGAACGAAGTGTTGTAGTTGCGTGTGCTTCAACTACTAAAGACCTCGGGTGGCACTGTTAAGAGTGATGATTGGGGTTTCATTGAAACAAACGCTGAGTTTGTGGCGCAAAAACAGATCGTCTCTACTTTTTAGGCATTGGACTATTATTCAGTATGGCAGGGTGTTTAATGGGTCCCTCGTTTAGTTCGGGTGTGTGTCAAGTCGTGCGTCCGAGGGTGCGCGCGGCAAATTGCGCGGCGAAGCTCGTAGCGANGTAGGCGCAAAGTCGTCGGAATAGGTATGAATTTCGCCGCGCAGTTTGCCGCGCGCGCCCTCGGACGCACGACTTGACCGTCCCCCGTTTAGTTCCTGCCTCACAACCGATGTTTGAGCCAGTATTACCTATTTGGTGGATAAGTCCTTACACTTATTACTAAAATGACCGACAACAGAGATGGTCGCGCTTGTTCGGGGCCTCAATCGCGGAGGTTGGAAAAATCCGATCGACATTCTTTGTCCACGTCTTAAGTAGAGAAACAATCTCAACACCAAGTCCTTTATTAGACTTACTAATCTACTTATATTGAATTAATCAATTTATTCATTTAAACTCACATTTATATCTATCTGTGCGTCAAAGCGACATGCCCGACTCTGAAAGGGAGTGGTAAGTGGTATTACCCTATTAAAAGTGTTAAGTGGTATTACCCTCTTAAAAGTGATTAAAAATTAAATGAGACGTTACAGGACAAAAGAGATAACATTATATGGGCAAGACACAATCGTACACTTTTTGAAATGAAATCAAGTGTGGAATCAAGCAAGAGGAAAAGCTGTTCAGAATGCTGTAAAGAAACGTGACGCCTTCATTTCATCGGTGGCGGCTTCCATATTGATCAATATGTTCACAACGCTCTGACCGATGTGCTGGCAGCTCGGTAGATTGGTTGTATCCACTAGAAGGAACAGTTCACATCGGTCTAAGGCTAAAGGCGTCTAAATTTTATTTATTTGACCTTTATATCAGTTACATTTCTTTATCAAAACATTTTTCTGGACGTCAACGCAGCAGCGGCTGTGATAAGGTTATCTGAGTGCTGATGAGATTAGTCAAACAAACGGCTTAGTGGGTTTCAATCTTACGTTATGATTGCGATAACAGCTCCATACTACTCCGAATGTTGCATAATCACACTTTACAAGTAAGAATCGGAGCACTGAGTGGAAGATGAATACTAATAGGCAGTGAAATAAGGTCCGATAGTTGTCAAGGAACTAAACTTATCAACATTCAGTGAGAAAAGCACTGTCAACAGATCTCTTGTTCCTTTTAACAGCAATAAAGCTTAATGACTTCGCCACGGCAATGTTAAACTCACCACCTCCTCCACCCTAACGTCGCCAGATCCATAGGGCATGCAAAGTATGCGGGCATAGAGTGTTTCTTGAATTATAGCCCCTGTGATGTCTTGTGAGGCTTTTTGCCTTCGATCTATCTGTCTAACTTGGCCAGCATAGCAGGCTATCTTTACCGCTATTCACGGAACTAATTGAATTTGCACCAGTTTACAAGAACAACATCCTTGTTGGTATGGTACCGCTCGTGCCACCAGCTGAACACATCAACAGTTAGAATTGGCAACCATGAAGTTGAGCTTCAAGCATCCTTGTCTTGTATTTAGTTGCTGCAGTGGTATCTGACGCATGCAGACGCATCTCAATCTGTACATGCACAAAGGTTCATGCGCTTGGTCGACGTGTACTGATCCTCAAAGGATAAAGAAGCTTGAGTAGTTCTATTCTTGCGTCGAAAAGAACAAGTCCTTTGCCAAAAAGCTCAATGAAATGCCACCATAGTTCATATTTTCCTTACCACTAAGTTCCATTCGAGACATATTTTCCTTACCACTAAGTTCTATTCGAGTATGTCATTATGTGAGCATGAGCATGAATTATTGTACTTTCAAGAAATCCATCGACAGGTTGATTTCACTTAGTTGACTTCATTATAAGATCTTATTGTTTGTTTTACTCCTTTTTTCATAGTCATGTTATTTTCCTCATTTCACATGTTTACAACATGTCCGTTAAATAATATAAATAAAATAAAATGAGTCATACGTTCATACGTTTTTTTTCTGCCAATCTAAATTGAAGTCCGAGGTATAGCGTGACTCGAAAGAACTGGTTGACCTCGAGTAAATCATCTTTTTATTCTGTAATGTGCTTGCCAGTGAACACGTTAATGGTTCTCGTCTCCCAAACGATACTGGCATTCATATGTCAAACACGGAGGGACGGGAGGCTATTTTCGTTTAGTGCCGAATACGGGACGTTCCATGGACGACCTTGTGACTATTTTCAAAATGTGGCTAGCTTTAGATGTTGTCTTCAGCATATAACAGTCTATTCAAGAGAATTTGATCAACATTGTGAGCCCTCTACCTCCTAGTTATTACTGCCAATCTATTCTGCCTTCTTCCATGTTTCCTGTCCAACTTCATCGAGAACATTTACGGCAAGGTTGTTAACCTGATCCATAACGTGATTCTCTTCTATTCAAGGCGCAAGCGAAAGCCAACAAGCACTACTTTTCATCAACAGGAAAATAAGTAGCAAATAGGTGCTTTCTCCAGATCGAGCAGCTGCTTCATCCAGCTCCTCTGCGATAACACTTTCTGTGAACCTACTAATGGCAATAGAAAGCTGTGTGGGGTAATAGTTGAAACTTAACATAGCTCGAAAAGACGCTCTCACTTGCTACTCTCCTAAAGATGAAGCAAGCTTACTAAAAAACTCAAAAACCTCAAAAAGTTCTTGGAACCGATCTAATGGAAGATCGAAAGATAATCATACCATCAAGATCTTGACATTAATTTCCGACATTATCGAAATGGAACGAGCGTTTCTTCCTCTTTGGACAGAGCTGAACTTCTTTGCTCGTAAAGATGATTTGATGCGAATATTTATGGCTCATTTGATAACAGCTGTCGTCATGGCAATCTGCATAAGATCTTCTCATATGCAAAACGTTGTTCCATTGCCGTTTAGTTACGCAATTCCATAAGCATGAGACCATCAATTCATAATTCTTTACCACATCAAGAGGGAGATGTAAATCACTTCACATCATTGGGAATTATTATATTTGGGCGTAATCCCCTGGGAGCAGATGGGTCTCCGGCTCACCATTTCGCTATCCTTTTCTTAGCCTTACAGTACGTCGAATTGTCACACATACCTCTTCATAAGCAGGCCATCAGGGTATATCATAATATAATATACATATACATAACATAATTTACTATAAATACATGATATTATTCAGATGCATTTTTTTCGTACCAATAGATGCTAGCTAATTGAATGTGTGAGCAAGACGAAATATTAGGCAAATATATTTACACAATAACTTTCACATTGTAACTTAGTTTTGAAATTGTTAGCTGAAGAAGGTTTTTCTGGATCCCATTTGAACCGAACGCACTCGGATCCGTCGAATCCCCAACGTTCCAGTGTACCGGATTCGTGGTCGAATATGGGGTGAGCACACGTCGTTACTGAAAAAAACCTTTTCGATTTAGCAGAATTATGGATTTTGAACTATTGAATTCATCTGCTTNAAAAAAAAGTTGTAATAAAATGCATTGAAAATAGATTATTCTACTGACTCTGATCTGGACAACAAGCTCCGTCGAGGCCGTCAACTGGGGACAGCCCTTGAATGCATTCGTATCCAGTCTCGCAGTCGTTGGTTTTCGATGAACACAGGACGGGAGGACTGAGTAGGTTGTTGGTAGAACTACCACGTAGTATGACTTGATAACCAGCACCATCCGGAAGGGGACAGGTAAGTGGAGGTCCAACCTGGCCAGTGGCTAAAAACCAAAAATGAATTTAACATGAATTTTCTCAACGATTAGAGCTAACGAACTAGTTTGCCATTTCTCCCTGAATTCGCTTTTCTGCCGATAAATAGTTCATTTTACCCTTCTCAGTTCAAGCTCACCTGCATCATTCACTGACAAGCACACCCATTCTCTACTGGGACTTTTCCGTCTCACATAATTCTCAGGACATCGACATCGAGCTCGTTGACAGGTGGACCCGGGCCAAATCTCTTCGCATTCTCGATCTTCCGTACATTTCTGAACAGATAGATATCCTCACATGCTAAGGTGAACCACAATCAATAGGTGTCTTTACTTCTACCCCACCTAAGAGCTGCGTTCCTAACCCTTACCTTTGCTTGATGCTTAGCTGCCCATATATGGCAACTAAACAGTATAAGCGAAAGTAATGCCGTCTTCATCACTCGATCATAGCACAGGTAGATGGTTCTAAACATGTTTCTGCTGATATAATGAAAAAAGAAGGCGAAACGGAGATTTATCGACTAGTGCCTGTCGTTTTTTCCATCAGAGAAACAGGAGACCAACTAACGTTCCTATAATTATGCAACACTACCGAAATGAACTATTGCAAACTTTCATGTTGGAAGTTTTGCTTGCATAGTGATCAACCTCAACTGCTCTCTGAATTGTATCCGAAAATAATGATACAAAATATCATTTTCTGTTTAAAAGTTCAAGATTTATTCCATAAGAACAGCTAAGAATAGGGGGAAAGGAATGGCCGGGTTTTAAGAAAGCAGGGGTATATGGTATACGTAAGCTAAGCTCGATTCGATTAACACTTCAGTTGAGCTCTGTTGGCGATGAGATGCACATGGAAAATAGTTACAAGAATAATGTGGTACAAATCGGATAAAGTAAAGATTATTCGAGATGATGCAAAAGGTTTTAGAATAAGAGTACTAAGGATACTAGGATACTAGAATACTTAGTAGGGTCATTAATTGGAATAGGGAAGCGAGCAAGTTGTAGTTGAACGACAAGCAATCCTTTTGTACAGAACCGCTTATAGACGTTCGGTGCTAGGTGAGGCTTTTAAGCTATATGTGATATTTTGCTATTTTATGGGGTCAAGATCGAGCATTGAATACAGAGCCCGGCTTTCGATGCATTCCTGAAGAGGGCAAGAGGGTTAGGGCTCTGGTACAATCAATGCCGCTTGGGATGCGCCTTGCATTTGACATTCAGATAAAATCGTACTGGCGTCTTGAATAGTATTTGGCTTATACAATAACTCGTTGTTGGCCTGCAGAAGACTAGCACTCTTATCCTTTCACACGAATGTGGCACCAACCAACGAACCCCACATGGATGGAAGGCTCGGTTGGTTTGGGTACGAGCAGGGACTATAACCCGGAACATGCTTGTGTGATAGTGCGCTACTTTTCACCATACCACCTCCTCTACATTCATACATACGTTCTTTTAAAGTGAGAATTGTAGCGTATATATAAATGTTTACGGGAGCTTTTCGAGAGTTCAAAGAAATGAATAAATATCGAACACCTTCGATTAAGGGCATCTGCCGTGGACATCTGCTGTAAATTCAGCCTGCCCTACCGGCAAACTAATCGAAAAACCCCTAAGGCAATCTCTTTTGAAAAAATCACTTCTCAGGTGATTCTATGCAAGAGGAAGCTCGTCTTCTACTTAGCCATTTTTCTAGAGGCTCTTACCCTGATTCAGGCATGTAAGCTTTTGCTCAACAGAACCCGCTGGTAACGAATTCTCGATGACTCATTCAAATAAAAACAAACAGACGCAGGACCTAATGGCTCATAGCTACCTCTAGAATGGTGAGCAGCGCTTTCTACGTTGTTGTAGGAAAGAATATAAAATGGTCAGCATAAATATAATGCGAAAACTGCAACGAAGAAGACACCAGAGAACGGAGGACTGGTCATTGTAAAGAATAGAACAACAATCAACAAAACTACAAACCAGGAAAACAAGACGCATCAGTATCATGGACTTTAATCAGAAAATATTTTATGCCACATCCAAAAGCGAATCACTGGCACTGAGTCAGCATCCCACATAGACAGATCGATCTGGTGGGTGTAAGGGGGCGAAACTGGATCCCACCGTTGTGTCTGGTAGCTAGCTTCAAGGCAACACACGCGAAAATATCACCAAACAACTAGAAATGCTGTCCGCCAATGATTTTGCGGAGGATTCCGCCACCTGTCAAAGAGATTTTCATTGATAGTAGCAATCGAGATATCTACTACTATGGATTTTGTTTGCTTTCGTCCTCTGGCGAAATCGGCTTTTGACGATTTCCCTTGAGTTCAGCAGAGATTGATCGATATTCAAAGCATTCTGTGAACTTCTAGGAAGTTACACGTATGAACATCACCCCACATTGGTGATGACTAGTGGGTGGATGGGGCAGTTTGAGAGTATTTACCTGTGGCGAGAACGGATTTTTATGTCCGCCCGAGCGGTGCGATTTCGGTGGGTTATGCTTCAAATTTCAGGTTTTCGACGTCACATTCGCCTGAGGGCTTAATGCGCTTTTTTGGACGTTGTACAAATCATCCTCTGAAGAATATGATAGCCTACAAGGTTAGGCCATTTACCCAATTAACTGGGAAGAAACTTCAGAAGAAAAGTCTTTCCCGAGGTTTTTTTACCTAATGAAGAAGAAAAACTGGCAGAAAGAAGAACCAACGGTTCCAGTTTACCGTTTTCAAAAGGGAGCTCGAAAACCTTTGAACTACTGTCCCATTCCATTAGAAACAATGTGTGAATATTCGTCCGATATGAAGTAAGGAGAAGGTGAATGCGCACCGTACATTACTACCCTGGACGGATCCATTCTTTTCCTTCACCCTTTGTCCTATTACCTTTTGCCTTTTCCCCTCATTCAAATGCACCGTCTCCAACCCGGCAGCTGATGGGGATTCAATGGGGAAAATGCCGAAGAAAGTGCACGCGAACGTTCAGCTAGACCAGTCACTAAGGGAGCCGAAGGGATCGGTGAATCCATGAAAGAGTGCACATACCTAATGATTGTTCCAAGTGAAAATAATCAGGAACCCTCCTTATTTCCTTTTACTTGCGTTGTCTGAAACTTAAGGAGCTAAGTTCTAACGCAACCGCTCCTAGTTAGTTCGCTGCTTCAGCGCTTACTCTGAATGCTGGCTGATGATGAGTTTGTGAAAGGAGCATTGACATTTGGTCAGAAATTTCGTGAGCTACTGTTAGCAGGAATTAAAAGGTATTCAGAATGTTGCTTGATGTTCGATGACTTGATGTTCGATGATGTCAACCGCTGGTGGAATGGGTACAACACAGCTGGAATGATGTTACTGTCAGTTGCTATTACGAGCAGAAGTCTTTTTAAAGGCAAGCAGAGGCGTGGAAAGACTATTTTTACCGGCACTCCTCAGTGAGCCGTTGTGTTAGTTTTTTGATCGGATTGGCAAATATCGACTGCGATACGTCGTAAATAGCTCTTTCCCTATACAGAGAACAACTAGGAGATTTTTTATGGAAACAGCTCTCTTTGGGAAACTTGTTTGTTTCTGCCTCTACATTCTGCTGTGATGATGATTACTAAAAAATGAAATTAGCGTAGTGAGAGCGAAAGGTGGCCAGGTAAGGTGCAGTTGAGCGAACCGTACGCAATTACGCAATAGTGAGCGGGAGCTTCACCAATAGTCTGAATCAGGGTGGGCATGAGGAGCGGTTAGTACGGGAAGATGTGAACTGAGCTCGTTTTCATGCAAAACTGGGTAAGTTATTACGAGCTTATTAGTTAGTAATTCCTGATGGGGGTCAGCACGATGAGTTTTGATGATATTATATCGAAAAGTAACTTTACTGATATCAAAGAAGTCATTCTATAGAACTAAGCTGGTCAGCAGTGCAGTGTTAATAGGTGGGAGCTGGCTATGGGAAGGCTATGGGAACTCCAAGGAGTAGATGAATAATTCCCTTAGACTACTCGAGTTTACACTCTTTTCAAACAAAACGGTATGAACATTTGCAAACATTAAGGAGTGATAAGGGCACCGCCTTGCTCAGCGAATCATGTCATAAGTCAGGAACTCCTACCAATATACTGAGTTATGCTCAAGTGCCTGGCTTATCCTACAAAAGCACATCATCACGAAACACCACTTTCTTCTGTACGGTGGATAGCCTTAGTCCCCTGCTTGGGAATTTCTTCTCCTCTTACCTTCTCCAGAGATTTTTGAACATGGTTAACTTAGAGGAACGAGAGCCGGACTGGCTCAAAGAGGAACTGAATTGGGATTTCAACTGAGTACATGTATGTAAGGGGATCCTACAATGTCCCACGTTGTCAAACTCGTTGTGAAACACTATCTAATTGAAGAAACTTTTATACAATAGTTCACAGTATAAAACTTAACAATAAGCAATCATTATAAATCCTTGAGATCAATAAATTGAACTGTTCTATCACAATTCAAGGTAGTGACAAAACTAGACTATAGGAAAAAATAACAATCACAACTGATAAACGATAAACGACCAGTACAATATACATTCAATCGAATCAATTTAGAATCAATGCACAACTGAGGAAATGAATGGAAAAAGGGGTTGCCTGGACAAGGAACATATGTCAGGGGCCAGAGGTGAATACGAGGTGGAGTAAGAAGACTAGAGTCCAATAAGACATCTCTATTGACTTCAAGAAATATGGGGTAGTGAACATGGCCTTCTAATTATGTACCACATAAATGGAAAAACAACAGTTAGAAGAGAAGGAGGAAACATTTCATGGGTGTGCGAGAGAAATGGGAAGTCATGCGGGATAGAGGAGACAGAGGTGGTAATCAATGAGAACCCGAAGGAACCATCAAAGCTAGATCACCCACTTCATCAACATCGTTAGGCTCTGAATCGACAGCCTTTCATGGCTTTTGTAGGCTACCAGTGGGTCCCTCCACTGTCCGTCCCTTGACATAAGGCCGGTTTTCGAGTAAATACTCACAATTAGATAAAGAAGGATGCAAAAAACATCGTCCCAAACTGGATATCGACAAATTATAGCCTTCAGGGACGGTCTTCTCAGGTGTATTACTCAGAAAACAGAATCCGCACAACTTGCGACATCGCAATCCGGGTTGTGAATCATGGCTTGATGGTTGGGACACAGAACAACTCTGAGTGTGCCTTAAAAGCCGCTCTCGTGGACATCCAAACAACATTTCCTATGGGCTGTGCACGTGATAGGCTTTCTCAGTCCCACTCTCACTGTATATGTTACTGTCCCACAGAATCCGCGACTGCAGAATACTATGCCTTGCGTCAGAACCACCTAACATCGCCGCTCAAGCGTGGACGGAACGACCGCGATGGCATCTCCTGACCAACCTTTGGTAGTCACTATCTAAGCACATCTTTGTTTCAACTACTGTGGGAATTTTCCATAAATAATGAAAAGGATGGGTGGGCTGGAGTATCGGTGTTATAAAGGCCCCTGCATGAAATTTCCATAAGTAAATCACAGGTTAATATTGAATAATGGCGTTTTTGGAATTGATGAGGAAATAACTATGCCTGCTTCTATAAGGAGGTAGTCGAATGAGCAGTATTACACAAATAGAATCGTATTCATTTAATAAAGTAACACATAACCCTGATTTCGGCTTACTCGTTCTTGATTCCAAAGAGTAATTGCTTGGCAAATGTTGTGAACTTGATTTGGTCGAAGAAATCCGCCACCAAAACAGCTTCTTTCATTTCAACGGCCATTGTCGCTAGTACTGTCCCAAGTAACAGTAATCGGCCAAATCTAAAACAGTAGATATGGTTCTCGATTCCTATTTTGACAGGTCGTTTGTAAAATCAAGTTCCGCCTTTGAGACAAACGAAAGTATAAAATATAGGACAAATACATAGAATGAAAATAAATGTGTAGAATTCACGTACTGAGATGCGGCCACGCTTTCGACTTCCTTTCGAATGGTGACAGCACTTGAATAGGAAACTGGCCTACCCAATGAATTGCTAGAACCAGTCTATGGGCAATGCTAGGGTTTTGCCAATGCGTTCGGGTAGGGCAGGGCACCTGACCACG